CTCTCTCTCTTCTCTCTCTCCTCTCTCTCTCTCTCTCTCTCTCTCTCTCTCTCTCTCTCTCTCTCCTCTCTCTCGTCTCTCTCTCTCTCTCTCTCTCTCCTCTCTCTCTCGCTTCCATCTCTCTTCTCCTGCTCTCTCTCTCTTCTCCTCTGCTCTCTCTCTCTCTTGTCACTCCTCTCTTCTCTCTTCTCCTCTCTCACTCTCTCTCTCTTCTCTCTCTCCTCTCTATCTTTCTCTCCCTCTCTCTCCTCTCTCTATATATATATATTTATTTATTTATTTATTTATTTATATGTATATATATAACGCACACATATGCATACATTCCTAAGCCAGATGCTTGATATTTGATTTTGCAATGTCATGAGTCAAGCACTTCAATATAAGCATAGTTTAAACTTGGTTAAATCAGAAATGGTAATGGTAAATGGAGGGGAGGGGAGGGAGAGAGGAAACAGCCGCCAAAACCTGTTAACAATCCCATCCCCCGAACCTATGGCGCCGGTCAATACGAAACCTTCACAATTTGATGCCGCTTGGTCGATAGCCTGTCCTTTTCAGGACATAGTGACCCTGGGATAGTCAAAAGGTCACCAAAATTCCAAAAAGTGGAAAAAATTACCTGAAACATCCATATCTCGAAGCGTATTAAACAGATCAATCCAACACTTTCACTTATTGATGCACCGTTGTTGAAATCCTCTCCTTTTCTAAACATGGTATCAGTTGGTCAGGTCAAACTTCATCAAAAAACGTCCGACATCTCCAATGCTGTCTGTAGACGCCCCTGGGTTCCCAGCGTATGTGACCGATCGGCACGAAGCCTGTACCGATCGATGCGCCATGGTCGATAGCCATTCTGTCCAGAAGGTAATGTCCTTTTACCAGGTCGGAGGTCACCATAAGTGCCTCAACTTACAAAAAGTTTGTTTGCAGATAAGTTTCAACGATGGTCTATCCTTTCCAGACGATGGTGACCTTGGCTCAGTGCAGAGGCCGGAAAAATGTCTTAAACCAAAATCAAAGTTTGCGGGCAACTGAATGCTCCGAGCCTGTGAGACTGATAGGCACAAAACATTTACTAACAAATATTTACCACTCCATGCCGCTTGGTGGATAATCTGGCGAGGTCCATCTTTCGACATATTCATCCGGCCACGATCTCCGCACAAACTCTGACGCTCTCTAGCTATCATCTGCACAGTAGCTGCACCACTGCGACCATCTGTCTCAAAAACGCACTGTATCCACACAATGGCACCTCGATTTGAAATCTCCAGGTTAAAACTACCGGCTTTCAAACAGACGTAGGCTGGGTTTTGCTTATGTTAACGCAATTGAACGGTTCCTGGTCAGATTATCCTTCCAGTCTTAATTGGTAGCACCTTCGGCCACCCATGTAAACGGTACTTTTTGAGGGGATGAAAGCCAACGAACCAGATGGCAGTGTTTATGTCCTGGGGGGATGTCGAGCTAGTGACAGTGGCGATGACTTTTGACCCTTGAATCGCATATCAATATCACCGTTGTGCATTGATATCGTTCTGGTTTCTTTTGTGACGTGTGTTCACCCAAGGTCAAGCTAAGTCGAACTATGATTTGTGTGAAAAAAGCTTTTTGAAGATGTTCCTATGTGACATTTAATAGTCTCAAAGCTATGAAAGTTTCCTAATATCGCTGGGTGGGTCAATGCAACAACAGCCCTCCCGCTTTGATCTGGCATACCACATCGCATGGGTGCCAATAGTGTAGGGCTGCGCGTCTAGCAAACCAGAGGTACGGGGTTGGATTCTTCGCGGTGCCCACTCTTCCTGCCAGGATGGGAGGCAGGCAATGTCACATAGCCTCAGCATCTGGGTGCGCTGCAAAAGCCAAGTGACGAAAACGACATCACAGGTCACACCTAGCGATGTTCACTATTTTTAATCCTCTGGCAAAACTTTCCGAACCCATATGACGCCATCCTCTGCATTGTCCTTTACGGGATCCTCAATATCTCTGTAGGGTGTGGACTCCCCCCCCCCCCCCCCCACCCCTGGAGGGACGGAGTCCTCCTCATCTTTAGTCCTCCCTCTGACATTAGAAGCTACGCTGCTGTCCTGTATGAAAGGCCCAAATCAGAATTAATTCCGCTTAGAAGTGAAGCGAATTGGCATCATCACGCCACACCGATAGGCCATGAAGCCACCTACTTAACAGCGGCCGTCGTCGAAATTCGAACCCGGGCTTACCGCGTGCGAGACCAGCATGCTAACCATCCATACACCGGAGACGCGGGCCCGGCGGCGGAAATTTGTGATCAGAATAGGACCGGTTCAGAGTGAGTTGATGGATTTCGTGATCGTTTGATGCCTATCACGCATACAGCCGACTGAGACAGCACGAGATCCTGCATATTTGCACTCGCTCCCTCTGAGGCTGGCAGTCCGCGCATACTTGACACGCACAACCATCTGAATGATTTTTGGAGGGTGTATAAACGCGGCGCGTAGCCACCTTCCATTCTGGAGGGTGTATAAGCCCGGTGCGTAACCGCCCTCCGTTTTGGAGGGTGTATACGCGCAGCCTAAAATGTTATGTGCCAAATGCTACCACATGTGGATGAGATCTGACATGCACTAGGCAATCAAGCGATGGAATTGTGATGCTGCATGTTGCCCAAAGTAATCCCAGTAACTGGGTGTACACAAAGTGTTGTCTTTGTGGATGTGGGGTCTCCAAGCTTTTCAGTCTATGTTCCTTCCAAAGACACCCTCTGCTGCTCCTTAACTGTCCGTTTCCCAAAGTGTGCTTGTGCTGATTTGAATGTACTGAACTGGTTGTTCTTTCCGATCTACTTTTATCTTTCTCAATCGTCACATTACAACATTGAACTGGAGCAAGCTGCATGCATCATCTTTGCCATGAGGTGGTCAGCCATGTGCTGTCTCTTTGTGATGCCCATGCACTGCACTTGCAAGTTCTGTATGCTAGAAAGCAACAGCGCACCCATGTTGATCTGTTCCACAGGATCTGCCGCATGGGGCTCTGCAGGCGCTATGTCATCCCCTGCCCCATGCTCATGATGCACAATGTAATGATTGATGCATGGTGCAATGATCAATGCAATGATGTGTGCAATGATCAATGCAATGATAAATGCAATGCAATGAACCTTAGCCACATTGCCCGTGTTTTTTCACTTCTACATGTTTTGGCTGCTGCAGTTTGTTTTCCAGCATGCTGAAAGCACGTTCAATTTTTACACGTGTTTTTTTGTATGATCTGTAGAAGTGGTGCCGAGTAGCGTTGGGGTGATCGTTGTCTCGGGAACGAGTAATGAACTCCACGGAAAGGGAAAGCTCCTGTCCTCGATGAGGTGTGCGTTAGATGGGAGAAGCTGCCGCCGATACTCCCTGAGGTCGCAGCAGAGGGGGCCTTCTCTGAAAACCGAGAATCGTGGGCGGATCGCGGAACCCTGCAAGTACATCAGTGAGTACGCCGCGGTGATCACAAGCAGCCAGTAGATGTACTGTTTTGGCGATGCTGGTGGGTATTATGAGCAGCTGCGACCTCCTTGCTGGGAGCACCCATGAAGAGAAAGGACCCGTCGATGGCTGCAACCACACCCGGGGAGCCGGCGCACGCTGCAAGGCCTGCGATGGTTTCATGTAGCCGCGCTTCTATTGGCCACTCGATGGCGTCCCCGCGCGCGGCAGCAACATACTTGCAAAATGTCAGATACTAGCGTAACCCAGATTTTGAAGTTCCAGACTTGTCGCCAACAGAGTGTTGGGGTACTGGCTCGGAAAGATATTGCAGCGCAAGCATCACATCTTCCAACGGACGCTTCTGGTTGCCCATGCTCTCGCCATGATTGTCAAAATAAATTTTTGTTTTGTTTACGCGACGTTGGCGCTTTGGCAGGGCCAGAACCGCTACGTCGGCGAGTGCACCAATGTGTTCGTCACTTTCTGGATCCTGCAACATAGTTTGTCTGGACAGCATGATTGTGGGAAAGTTTATCCATGCCTTGGATGCTTGGGAGTGTAAATATACTGCGTAACCTGGCGTCACACGTTTCCATGGATATGGTTCGTCTGTGTGTCTATATGTAGAACTCTCCTTCATGCGACTTGTCACGTGAGATTTCTCCCTGCACACGTGATCCGAACAAAGCTGCACCCGTTTGCAACCACACGCGCCAAAACTCGTCCATGCGCGCCAAAAAATATGGACCTCAATATACATGCACGATTATCTTAGCTGACATAAGGTGCTATAAGGTGATAAGTTACCAGTGCCTGCTGAACTTCGTGTCCGTGGTATGATCGATTGCATGTCGTTACGCTCGCGCAACGCTTGAAATAATTGAATGTCCTTCTGAGTCGAGGGCGACGATCTGCCTTTCCCTGCCTCTAATATTTTTGTTTAGGTGAGTCGTTATGGTATAGACAGCTGTTGTGAGAGATACACCTGAAGTACTTGTACATTTGTACATTGAAGTACATTTGACTGTCCCGACCCACCAACCTCATTTCTGCAACAACAAATGTCTTTGTTGGGAAACAGCTGATTTAACCAGCCACCATGTACAGGAGTCACTTAAAGCGTCCGCCATGACGCAAGATGACGTAGCTGTGGAACGTCACAGCTTGTTACCTGAAGGGGCGGAGCATCTGGCAGCATTTCCCCATCAAGAACGGGGCCCTGGTGTTGTCTTTCAACCTCCGGACCGGAGACCAGCTCGCCAACCAACGGCTGACGACCCCGCTTACGACGCCGGCTGGGCGAAGACACGCACTGACCAGGTCCGAAAAACAAGTGCGACAGAGAGGGACCTGTATAAAGTCGCCAGGAAATCTTCAACAGTCGCGCGTTGCGGTTCTTGCCACGATATCAGCTACGCTCCGGAATCAACGAAACAATTCAAAAAACTTTTGTATTCAAATATTCCTGGCGAAACCGTAATTCATTATGCCGAGACCAGTCAGACCAAAAATCAAACAAAAACAACATAACTCAAGAAACTTTTTGTATTCAAATGAGCTTGGCAAAACTATGATTCATGATGCCCTACAAGTACATGCCAGTGATGACAGCGATGCACAATGATGAGGAAACTACCAGGACAAACCTACCCACGACCGGGCCATGGCTCGAAAACAAACAAAGCGATGAACGTCACTCACAGTAAAATAAATACCCCTACGGCGCGAGAGGTCAGGAACGGGTCATCCCGAGCCAGGCCCGGCAACCCACGACGGCCAGTCACCACGGTATATTTACAAGATCGCGCAAGACGCGTCCACAAGCATCATGTCTTCAGACGCGACATACGTCCTCACATTTGTACAACCATGCACACGAGCGCGCGCTTTACTCGTCGTCATCCTCGTCTTCCTCTTCGTCGTCAAAGTCCTCGGCAGCCGGAGCGGCCCTGCCCCCGTTCTTGTAGATTGCCATCTCCTGCAATAGGAGAAGCGATTCGTGACATAAAGACAGAGAAAACCCAACAAGCACATCGACTTAAACACGCGGTGGAGAGGAATGTGAGTGAAAACTTCACAGCACTAGAGCCCGAATTCGCTTCCAGCGGCCGCTGACGCGCCGCATCACATCATAACTAAACGTCTCCCAGACATGGCTGTGCAGACGGTACAAACAACACTCGTACCAGGCGACAGGCGCGTGCCTCACCCGTGCGTAGCGCTCCTTATCCTTCTCCGCCAGGGCGACGTACTTCTTCTTGCCAGCCTCGTCGCACTCTCCCCACATCCGGCCGAGTTCCTTGGCCACGTCGCCGACAGTGTAGTCTGGGTGAGCCGCACGGATCGCCGGCCTCTCGTCGTTGCAGAAACAGAAGAAGGCGGACAACGCCCGTTTGGGTGCGTTCGGGTCCTTCTTCCGTCTGCCACTCTTGCCTGTCTTGGCGCCGCCCAGCGGGGGAACGTACGTCCTCATCTCGTCATCGAACCGGTGCTTGTCCTTGTCCGCCATGTCGACGAATCTCTTCTTTTCCTTCTCACTCATGACCTGATGGTAGTGGATTACAGTGCACTGTAAAAGCTATACGGCATATATCGGGACATGTGGGATCTGAGTGAAATGTAGTCCGCGCAATAACGTTTCATAACGACCATCAGGAACAATGACCCCAAGCAGTGAGCTTATGTGGGGGTTTGCGTTCTTTAATCTAAACACCATAAACCAGAGTAAAACCAGTAAAACCATGCTTTGAAGGGAATTTTCTACAATGAAAGATATTGAGGTAGCATCAAATACGACGACGTAAGCTCACTTGTAGCTATTGGCAAAAGTGCAAAAGACTGCTCTAGACAAGATTCAACCATTCGTCAAGTACGTGCCTCCACACGTCATCGTTTGATCACATCACGGAACACCTGTATGATGTCAGAGCCGCTGTCAGACTGTCTGTGTCAAAACTGTCATGTAGCGGACGGGCCGCCTCGCTTGCAACACTTAAGCTTTCCGGGAGGCGGCGGCGTTTGCTGGGGCCTGTGTGCTGGACATAACCACCCTGAAGCAGGTTGCGCTCGTGTGTTGGCCATTTCTTGTGGTATTCTTGTATATGTCTCCACTATTTTATCTTGTTCACGCGCATTGGTATACTGCCCTGTTCGGTCCTGGTCTAGCCAAATTATTTAGTTATTCCATTCCCGTATTTCATTCGTATTTCTGTCACAACCCGTACCGCTTCCCAAATTCCTACAACATGCAGCAGCATTAGATAAGTTGAAGGCAAATTAGGGGGGGGGGGAGGTAGGGCGGTCGTAAGCACTACATTGTGCATCATTCATTACATCCTCCCATCATTGGGCACATAACTGAAGCGGCGATTTTGGCATGGCGTTTTTAGAGTCATGCACGCCTGGGTGACCTTGAAATAGTTTGCGGGGAACAGTCCTGATAGCTTTGCGAGCGTCAAGCTCAGAAGCAATAACCGGGCTTTGAGTCTTAAAAGGAGCGTTCCACATTTGCATGGGGTTTTGAAATTAAATAGCCATCTTGAAGATCATTCGGTGCACTTCACAAGGCGTCAGTTTGAACCCCTGAGATGTCAAAAAGTGATAGAGCTACACACCAAATGCACAGGGTATGTTGGCCTGTACATAAACTTGCGTCAAAATTGGATGTTCCTTGGTCATGACCTTCAGACCAAATACAGTAAAACAAGGTCAACCTACAGACTGGTGTCCAAGGCGTCCCCATCCTTTTCAGGCAACCACCATGAGCCTAAATACCACTTCCAAGCAAAAGGCTACCGGTGCTTACACGTCAGTGACCTTTGATATTTCGAAGGTAATGGTGACCAAAATAATTCAAAACTACTCTAATCTTGCATTTGATTAAGCGTCAAGGACTACGCCACGCAGTATCTTCCTAAAAAAGAATGCTGGCCTGGGTCATCTTAGGCCGTTGACCTATTCTGACATTTAAGACGACCATAGAACATGCATGTGATCCCTGCTATCAAAAAATAAAAATGGGCACCAGAAACTACCAATCAGCAAACTCCAGAATAACAAAACAAGTTGGTATTGACCTTGGTCTGACCTTCATACCCGACCCTAAACAAATGGAATGCTAGTTCAACAGTTGCGCTGCCTAAGAAACTATCTAAAGGATGTATAACTTCGGCTAACACTCCGCTGCTGGATCACATTGAACGATTCCCTACAAATTGTCTTCGCTGAATCCATGGCCCAACTTTGGCCTACCGTAGGTCAGCGACCTTACAAGGTATCTCTAGCTTTCTGATACAAAAAATCCGCTATTTAGTTATCTACAGCTACACAAAATTTGGCGCAGATACGCCACACCGTTCAAAAATAATCCCGGAAAAACCTTCGGTGGGGGGGGGGGGGGCAAACTGACCCCCTCCGAGCGCATGTTAAGACCCAAATCCCTCTAGTTTATGAACTACACATCCGCAAGCATGCGCGTTAGGGAAAATGTCAAACTATTTCGCGGAGAATATTTCAAGGTCGCCCAGACATCCATGCCGCAATAACTACATCATTCAAATCCTGGCGTGCCATTAAGGTCAAGAAAAACCTCCTTGTCAGGTCGTTTATATCTGACCTTGGTAAACACGATTTCCGGATAAAACGGTCACTATGTTCTCAAAGTTTTCCAGTGTGCGATGACGGTGATCATACAATGATGTACCAGGAGCATATTAACTAAATAGGTAATTGGTTGTCTAGGGCAGTCTTTTACGCTAAAAAAGTATGCCCAAAGTTAGAGGCAAGCTCCTTTAAACTTCTGATGCTTGCTCCAATGTCTTCAAATGTGGAACATTCCCTTTGACCATTTATGGGTCTGGGATGATTCATATCACAGCAAAACCTTTGGCCTCACCTTCCACCTGTCTGAGCATTTCTTGGAGAAAGCCGCGAAGGCGATGGCTTCGTCCGGGTGCTTCTTCCTATGTTCCTCCCTGCAGGTCTGCACGAAGTACGCGTATGAGGACATGCGTCCACGTGGCTTGTCGGCTTTGGCACGAGGCATCTCTGCGACCTGTCTGACACGGCAAATCGTGGCAAATTAGGTGGGGTACGACGATGACCTCGCCACTGGGGGTTTACACAGCCGCGGCCGTCAGCTGGCGTCAGTGGCGTGCTCTGGAGGCGTCAGGCGGTGGCAGGGGCGTTGCCGGTGAGCGGGATTGAGAGGAACACAACACAACGAACAGAGCGGGTAATGTGCAGTATGTCTTTTTCAGCCCCGGTCACAGGGTCCGTTTGTATTCCTTACTTCATAAACCCTCGCCTTGACAGCGGGGGTTGATGCTACTCTAAAGTTTTTAGACACCTCTCTGGCATGTCGTGCGGTCGCGTCTAAATTTTCAGTAGCCTATGGGGCATTCATAGCGCGTGCTTTGATACCGAAAACGTCTCCATAGCTTTTCTACTTTTAAAGCAGCAGTTCTTTTAGGAATACTGCACGGAATGAGGTCTGCGCGGGCGATGGGCGGCAACTGACGATCCCGCGAACAGCCCGCGGCGGGCGGACACTTGCTTCAGTATTCAAAATGTAAGAATGAACACTCTGGCTTGAAGCAATGTCCCGCTCTTGTGAATGGTTTCGAACTGAAATAGCCGTCTTGAGCATCATGCCGTGCATTTCACAACCCTGCACTTCTTCTAGTGTTTACGCTAAACGTCCACGAAGATGTACACTTTTTCGGGGAATTTTCCAGATCAACCAGACATACATGACGCCATACTTACGTCATTCAAATCCTGTCATCCCATTGGCCACGCGGCGATCAAGGCCGATCAAAACATGATTGTCGAGTCATTCTTGTCTGGCATTCGTGAGCACGAATTCCAGATATAACGAGGGTTAGCTGACTAGCAATCGATGTTGTGCAAGATACCATAGCGATGTGCAAGATACGACGCAGTTAAGAGTATATTTACTAAACAAGGATAGTGTTGTCTAGAGCAGCCTCCTCCACTAAAAGTATACTTTAGTTCCATAGTAATAAATGAGCTTAATTTATCGTATTTTACCCCTGCTTCACTACCTTCAAATGTGGAATACTCCCTCTACCTTTGTGTCACTACAAGGCACAGTCCCACCCATAGCATGCAAAGCTAAAAAAGTGCAATGCTCAGGAAAGTTTGACTTTCACCCTGGCATAATGGGGCAAATTTTAGCCTAACAATACATAACTTGTTGCCAATATCGCGACATCGCGTTGAGAACAATCCTTTGTTGTGTCCCGCGAGCAATATCGCTCTTAGTTTGAAAACATCCGGGGTCGCATTACCCCCCTCCCCCTCCATCCTCTGTCAGCCCGCGGTATGAAAAACGGCTGATCGGGGCGAGGGTTACCCACAAAAGGTTCTTTTCAAGGCCAACGCAGGCAAGGAGTTGGGCGTCATGCACTGGCGATAACCAACTTCTTGAATCCGAGCGCACGGACTAACTTCACATCTTTATGTCATGAAAAGTTAGACTAGTTAACACACTTAACCTGACTTAACTAACCGTCACTGTCCACCACCACACCCTACCTCGTCGCCAATCGACGGGTTGTGGTTGCCCCGCAATGACCATTCATCGGAGGCCCGGCACCAGGTATAAACATCTGCATGCGAAATTGCGATAGATACCAGCATACGTACTCTCGTCAAACGGGCTTTGTCCCTGACGGAAATATGCGTACAAACAACTAGGCATAAACTTTCCCATACAAAGTTTTGCGTTACGGTTTGTGTCAACAATTTTTCCAGACAACACTTTCCCTATATATTTCTTACACTTTGAACCTTATGTTCTACGTTCTTTATGCTAACGAAGTGCAGGCATTCGAACTCTATCCTTTGAGCAACAACCATACGAAAAATCACTTCGCTAACAAATCTCAAGCTCGCTCCGTCCAACAAACTGGAGTTTGAGGCTCCACGACCGCATACCTTTTTTTGGCAAACGCCCTTCTTGAACACTATAAACAATTATCTTACTCAATAAATCACTTCTTTAAATGCTGATCCATCCCGCAGCAGTTTATTTTACCGTCTGTTTCATCGTACCGTTGAGTATTTTCTTTTCATCAATCAGAACCAGGTCGCAATTTCACTTTTTACCCTTCACAAAATATGCTTGTGACACTACTATAACGGGGCCGTCTGGGTAGCGGTGATGGTTGTGTGGTAGACTAAGGGCATTTTCTCGATTGGAGCAACCTTGCAGCACTCAAAATCACACAAAGTTAGACCAAGTTCAACGTGGGTGGCAAACGACTATCATGTGCAACCAGTGTCCTAGAATTGCCAACTTTGGATGTACAGCAACACCCTATGAGGAGGAATTGTTCACTCCTCTTCCCCATATTTTACGTCAATTGTTCACTTCTGCCTGATCTTGTCTACTCACACATGTCAAAACCATATTTCCCTTTCCAAGACTTTCAGATGCCATTCAAAACCGAGCTCACTTGAAATCACCAAGCATAAACAAGGCTCCACAGAACCGGGATACATTTGGCTATGCCCTGCCTCACCTACATCTGAATCATGTTAATGTATGCACAGAGCAAGGGCGCCAGGTACCTTCAAGCCCACGAGCCCCAGCGACTACATCCGGTTGCATGTTTCAAGTTTGGTTTCTTTACAAAATGCATCACAATCGGCAGCTGTATGCCAAATGCAAGGTTTTCACGCACCCCCATTTTTTTTTCACCACCACACCACGAAAGCAGAGCCTGGTGCAAACACCAGCAAAGTCTGGTAGGGAATGTTACTCCACGTACTTCTCTTACCCGAAGAAACCTGACCCCTAAATTGCATCACTCGCGAAACGCAGGAGTGAAAAATTCAAGAAATGTCTTCTAAATGAAATTTAGTACTCATGCTAACAGATTTTTAAGTCAAATCGGCTGATTGCAAAATTTTGCCACAGACGTATCAGTCTGTATTTATTTCATTGCTTTTGTTTTTGTTCGGTATCATACGAGTGTGATACAACTTTCTTCTTCCTTCCTTTCCAGCTGCCTTTAAAGGCATCATCTGTTGGTTAAAATGTTGACCAATTTCTCTGCAAAATGCTCGGAATGAAAATTTGCACGCATTTTATACATAACTTGGAATTATTTGCCAGCCGCCCAAAAACGTCCGATATGCACCCACGAGTTAACAATTCGCAGGGAATGAAAGAGACCATTTGAAGCACGGAAGTTATTTTTACCGCCATGTTTGCCCTGTTAAACACTCAGTTAGTCGTTTTTCGGTTCATAGCAGTGCTCGATGATGATAAATCTAAGCCTTTCCAGTGTCTGTCTGACCAGGCTACCTTATGCTGCCATAAATCGCTTTCGGACCGACATGACGCAGCTAATACAGAAATGTTTCATGGCGAAATTCTGTGCCCTGGCCTGTTCATCATGCACACCTCTTGCTCGTTTCGCATTTCAATTTTGTAGGCTGGTGGACATGACTCATGTTTATATTTGGGGGTCGAGTAGGATCACCCGTCTGTCAGCAAACCATACGAAAGTCACCGACTTTTTGTTTGGGGGGAGCAGGAAGAAGTGTGCCCATAAAAGCCAGTAAGTCTCCTGTGCAGCAAGTCATTGCTTACCTTACCTGCCTCCAACACATGATTTGTAACTAGGGTTAGCCATTTTCAGTTGTAATCCACCTATTTTTGTCATAGGGCAAATTATGATGCCACCAGACATGTAACTGACTTATTTTGTTCCAAATTCCGAGTATTCGCCTGAAGTCTCTTGAAGTGGTCCCCGTGGCTGATTTAACCAGATAATGTCCATAATCATAGTCATGGTTTGCTGACTGGTACACGACTTTGCCGTATATATGCACTTTATTTGTCATTGGGGCTTTACGGCGCAATCAGCTGCTGAGGCTATATGGCGTCGCCTGCCTCTCACCCTGGCAGGAAGGGCGGGCATCACGGGGAATCGAACCCCATACCTCTGGTTTCCCAGACGCGCAGCGGTTAACGCAGACGCGTTAACCACTACACTACCGGCACCCCCTATTCACTTTACTTGTGACACAGGGATGCTCTAAGCTAAATAGCAATTTTAATGACGTAAATAACATTATGTAGCAAATAATCAGGCCATCCTATTCAAAGTGTGAAGCCAACATCCCAAACTTTGTCAGTAAATATGAATAAATAAATAAAAATAAATTCCTTTGCTGCAACTGAAAAGGCAAGCAAAAACTGGTGTGGCCACCTAAAACTTTGTTACTTTTTGAAAAGAGAGATTGTTCTGTGGAACATATATGTTATTCCCTTGACAGAGTTTAAAATGGAAATCGGAAAAAGCTGTTCAAAGTGATTTGAAGTGTTTTGATTGGTGTGTTGTCAACTCCAGCTGGTGTCACCAGGCTGACAGTATAAACTGAATAAAAGTAAGAGTTGACACCAGCCAAAAATGAGCTTGATCGCGTTTTTATCACAATTGCTGCTGTCAACAGATAAGTGAGGTGATTTGAGATAATGTTCAACGTATGGGCTACCCTGTTAGGCCAAGTTGGTTAATTGCATGGCAAGCAGCAGTAGGAATTGTGCAAGAATCAGTGACTCACAAATGCTACTGTGATACAAACAGGTCAGACAGGATCAGATGAGCTAAGGCCTCTTTAGGTTAGGAGTAGTTAGGCTACTTTCATGGAAACAAGTATTGGCATTTTGAAAGAAATAGTGACATAATATTTGTTTTCCCTGATCCCATCTTAACAGAATCCAGAGGCATGTCTATTGTGTTTGACTTGGTGATGGGCTGATGTGTGGGAGTCCAAGGTTGTTTTTTTGTGTTTGAGTGTGTTATGCTTGCTGAATTGTCTGTTGTTTTGTTGTTGAATTCCTTTGCTTTGTTTTGTGTTAAAAAAAAATGCTGTGGAAGGGAAATGCAAAGTGCAGCATAAAATCATTGGTGTTCAGTTTTTATGCTCATTACCCCTGTTATCAAATTTCTATGCTGTAATATGTTCTGTGTAACTTAATGGCCTGAGATGTTAAAAAACAAAACAGTTTTGACAGGTTTATATTACATCTGTGACAGCTTGAAATATATATGTCTTGTTTGCTCAAGCATCTCCCACTAGTCCATAGGTTCCATCTTTTATTAATTTAACTTTTCACTTTTGTACGGTCTTTTTGCAATCGAATCATTCAATCCCACCCTAGTTCAAAAACGATTCTAGCTCACTGTGTGCAACCTTACAACTAAATGAGTAGCTCATCATAAACCCACGCACAGTTGAAGAAATGTACCGAGGTTGTCCTGGCCCAAACATAACCTGCGACCAAAACTTCGAATTCTTCCCGGATTACAAGCACGCCATTTTCAGATCATTGCGAAGATTGGTAATGATTTGGGCTTTATGGCGCGCCGACTGCTCTGGCCGTACGGCGCCTACCTCACATCCCTGTCCTACCCCGCATCATTAGCATTAAAATAATGCCTGAAAGTCCAAACTGGGACGGTAACGCGCCACCAAACCCTTATCGAACATTCTGAGATATATTTTCTTACTTGACATGGCTCCCGAGTCACGGACTCCATTAAAGTGTTCAGAAATACCAAACTGACTGGGCCGTCGACGCGCATGGCCACCGAAGATCCGCCTGTCACCACCGAACTTAATCTATTTCGCTTCGGGTTTATTTAGCGTGAAGTCATCAACACGAGTGTACGACAGCAAATGCAGCCCCCCACACAGTTATCCTGCGGCCACGGACACCGACAACAGCAAGTCACTGATTGATGGATTGCAAGTGATGACAGTCATGGGTCGGGACATTGACACGGGACTCTGCGATTGGCGATTACAAGTGTGACTTCATTAACTCTATTAGATAGGGTAAGCCACATGATGTAATGCGACCAGAAATATTCTATAACGTTGTTGCTCCCATCAAAAGTTCCAACTTCCAACATACGTACCCCTCCCCTACCTTGGCCGAAATGCTTTTACGACCGATATCTAGCATGGCTTCGGTTTTTCAAAATTGAGTTTTTTGTCATCAGGCATTACATAGCCGAGTAGCACAGCTTAGCGGTCCTGCATCTACCTGCGCTGTCCGTAAGGCGCAACAACCACACCTGTTTAACTCATTCCAACGGGCCCCTCGCTCCGCTCCCCTGCTCCCTCCGGCCCGGCGGCGCTATTCGACCGCGCGCATCGTCCCGGCGCCAGCCAACCAGGCAGGCGGCAGCTGGGCGCCGGCCGCCGCCCGACCACAACAGGCAACGCCATGTTGGGCCCCAAAGGAAAAATACCGTTGTACTGGCGGAACACGAACGTCCAACGCACTCTGACCATTGTAGAACAACTAAGTTCCATTTCAGACCCAACAGACTTAGCGAAACGCCCAATACAACCTGAGCTCACTGTGGTTTGCGAGTGTCCACAAGCTTAAATGCCAGTTCTTTCCATATTCGAAGAAAATGGAGGCCATCCTTACGTAACAATGCGCCGCAATATCCGCGTTTTACGCGAAAACTAAGTTAGTCATCTGCCGCTCGCTACTTCACGCATGGGCACACAATGCCGATGATGACGCTCAGCCAGCGCCAGGGAATGCATTGGCCGCTATGGCAATAGAGAAGGCATGGGCACGCCGGGCAAGATACCCGCTGCCAACCCACGCAGATCCGGCCCGTCGGCGCCCCTCCATACGATTCAGGAAAATACCACAAACCGACAGTCTACCAAGAAGAATGAGGCGATGCTCCAGATTAACCAATGCTTAATGTATTACTCTAAAATATTGGACAACGCACACCACCAGCACACAGACAGAAAAATCCATCTGAAAAATGGTTGCCGACGTCCCGTACTTTCACAATGGCAGCCATGCTAAGTCAATGGCAGCTGCCCGACCCAGAAACCCCACAAAGCAAAGGCGAAATAAACACGCATTACGCGCTACATTTCGATACAAAGGACACCAAAAAGGTGAGAAATAGCTGAATTGTCCTGTGCTTTAAAAAACAGACTAATTCAAGATACAGAACGTACTCACCAAGGCTTTAACTCCAGGGCAGTTCTCAACGCGGCACCCACCGACTCCTCCACGTCAGGCGGCAGAGAGCGAGGGCCCGCTGCTCACAGAGGCAATGGGAAAATACGCGGCCTCTGATTGGCTGGTCGTCGAAACAACCGCCGTTGAAGGCCAATCACCGAATGGAACTACTTCTACAGAGAGATATAGTACCAGTGCACTAGCATTCCTCAACTATTCACCAGATCTGAGATTTATGATATATAAGACACCTATATGCAGAAAAAAATGGAACGTTATAGTAGCATCAATAGTCATGCCTATGTCATAGCTTTCATCGTTGCCTGACGGCTGAGGCCAGGCAGTGCAAAGTTATATATGATTAGGCTTACCGCTAAACAGTGACATTATGCAAAAATAAAAAATATAGCTAGAACATTATAGCTACACATGAACTAAGTCACATAGCGAGCACAAATACCTTAATAAAACGTCGTAATGTCACTGATATCCAAAATTGTCTGAGAGAATTGCTCCCAAACTGCCAAAATTACGTTCGACGCCGTAGGTTACCAGCACAAATGCTAATCTTAAAAGCCAAAGCAGCGGGTAGATTAGCATTAAAAGTTAGTATAAATTGTTTTGTCACAAACATTTTCCCCGGTCTTGCCTAGATGTACTGGTGAGATTTTGTCTTTTGATTTCAGATCTCGTGGATTTTGTGATATGGCAGGAGCGCCATTATTTTTGTACTTCTTGCCCTCGACTCGAGTAACGGCGCAGGCCACCGATTATTGCGCGCGTCTTGGGTCGTTAATCCAGGGTAGGGTAATACCCTTATCAACTGGCGTGGACGATAGGTGGTGCGATCACTCTGAAGCGATCAGGATATATTTCGTCGTGGCTTCAAATGTCAAAGTGCCATGGATCCAAAGGTAGGTTCTGTTTCGCTGATGGGTACCACGGCATTCCGTCATATTGGACAATTTAAACATGTTCAATCGCGTGCTCGATACACACTTCAAAGAGTTCTTTTAGGCTTTGTGAGAGCTGATCGATTCGAGGTAGCACGCATGTACACGCTACGTAGCTATTGAAAGAATGCAAAGCTTGTATGTTGTTATACAAAGCTGCTATGTTGAGGAAACAGATTTACAACACTTGCAATCCATTCAAGTTTGTTTTTCCATGGTATCTCATAATAAGTAGCCATATGGACACATGTGTGCAAGCCAATGTATATTTAAGTGAGATATTTTGGGGGCTGGCCTGGTGCACCATGTTTGTTCTGGGTAGCTATCAAAACATTAAAGCTGAAGTTTTTTAATTGGACTAGTTGAAGGTATCAAAATGTGTTTATGATATTCAAAATTGGTTAAATCACAGAGAATGATAAAGCTGATGGTAGTTATGTTTTCAGGGGTTATTAAGATTGAACAAACATTTCCCAAATAGGGTTAGTCAGCCATACTATTTGAGGCAGGATTCTGTCTGCCTAAAGTATCTTGTTGGCATATGAATTGGAAATTGGCATGAGTGTAAGGCGTGATCAGTTCTGAGAATGTGTCTAGATGCCAATGACAAAGATAATTTAAATTTGCATCTAGACTGGCAGTACTGGAATTATTTCTGTCACTTGACTTTATGATAATGGTTTTGCAAAATGGGTTTGGTGGCTAACAGAAAAGATTGCATGACTTTGCCCTAAAATAAGCCAACAAGAGGGCCTTGCCCCAGATTTGCCCCAATTTTGTCTCAAAGTGGGGAAAAAGCTGGAGCTCCAACTGAGTAGGAAACTACATCTCTGCTAAAGCTTCAACCCAATACACATAGCATAACTCCTGAAGCTGTGCTGTTTGCTGTTGGGAACTGCAAGCAGTGGCTGCAAAGATATAACTGTTAAGGAAATGTGAGCCCTAGGTTGGACGGGATATGCTATCCAGTGAAGTTTTGTATGCATGTTGAAATTTGACTGGGTCTTTGGTCTCACTTTCAGTAATTTGTATCTGGTTTATGTGATTATGTGATTATATGATTGTCATAACCAAGATATGCTATTCTTTGTGCAGGCATCTTAATTATATCATCTGGCTTTCCCAGGACGAAAAAACATTGAATGCTGAAGCAGCTATCACTGCCCAGGAGTTTGTCAAGAGGTACTATGAGGTTCTTGACAATAGAAGACATGTGAGTTATCTGTGGTAGTCATAGTTGCACTACACTGTGTATGCTTTTGCTCTGTCTTGCATAGGATTTTTGGTTTTCTTGATTAATAAGATGTTGGAAATAAACAAACCCTTGCATATTGTCACACAATTGACTTAATCTTATTTTTGGCTTAGAGTGCTTCAACATCTTATCATGATTCACACCGTTTAGATGGTATGTGACCAGGGTTTGCAGTCAAACCCTGATATGATGTGCCATATTTGCCATCTTTTGAGTATGCTATAAATGGATGTGTTGGGCACTGTACATGCAGGATTTCAACTAGTTCATGTCAGCTGTGTGGATACCTATTTTCCATCATGTGTGGTGGGCGTGATCACTGGTGGCATGTACTGGCCTTTGACAGACACTGGCCAAGCTGTACCTGGACACAGGCATGCTTGTGTGGAATGGCAACAGCGTGGCAGGCAGTGAAGCCATCCAGACGTTCCTGGAAAAATTGCCCACTTCTGAGCACAACATCAGTTGCATGGATGCACATCCCATTTCAGGTAAGTGGTAAGGACTAAAATGGATGCTAGTCAAATTGGCAGCCTCATGCATGTGTTGGAATTGCCAACATGGCTCAACTCCATACTGCTTGTGTGTGTGTGTTTTTTTTTTTGCCTTGCCTGAGATGCAGCTACAATCACACTTCAGTTTGTGACTGTTTTGTCCATCACAACACAGAAATATTTGAGGACATGACACAAAGCAGCTCATGTGGTGCAAAACATAGTCTGGGCTCAGTATGCAACCATAGTATTTCCCTGAGGTGTGTCATCCAGTCCTGCTTGCCTATTTTCTTCTCACCCTTTGCAGATGTGGCAGTGGGGGCGCAGACGACGATCCTGATGACGGTGGCCGGCCAGGTACGCCTGAGGAACTCGACGCGTCTCTTTCAGCAGCACTTCATGCTGACCGCCCAGGACCGCAAGTGGAAGGTGGTCACCGACTGTTTCCGGTTTCAGGAGATTGTGAATTGAGTGCTTGCTAACGCCAGTGTCGTGACAGGCGGGACTAAGGGGCACACTGATCTGCCCCGGAATGTGGAGTAACAGTCACCACTCATCGACAGATGAACCCAGCCATGTGGTTGCCCATTGAGCCAGTGGTCTGGCGCCAGCCGTGACGTAGGCCGTGACGTAGTCCGACTGCATTGCGTCTGTTGTGCTGCCCTGGCCGTGATCGTGCGATGCGCCGCTCTTCGCCGGGCGTCATGCTATTCGCTTGTGTGTGGCGCCATCTGGGCCGCCTGTGGCGTCATCTGGTCAGCCATTGGCGCCAAGTGGGCAGAGTTATGCCACATCGATGGATGGTGCGGTGGCGTGCCATTCGCGTTTGTGCGCGTCAATGTCAACGTCCGCTCAGAGCCCGTAGCTCTGTAATGAGAGTCATGTGGTTAGATGTCGAGTGGCCCTTACCTTGTCGAGGTGGAATTCCATGCCCCAGGTTTTGTTCATTTTGTAATAAAATAATTTGTTCAGAGCATGATTAATGTGTTGGTGGGGGAAGGCATGTTAAAATAGCTGCCACAGAGACATGTATAGGCGTATTCATGATGGTAGACTGGAGGTTTGACATGTTCTTGTGGTACTCCTCGAAGTGTCTGGGATCGTTTTGACATTAAGGATGCTTGGGTACAATGTTTTGCTTTGTTCCCATTGTCGACCTATATTTTGCCGTTCAAAGTAAGTTCACCATAATGATTTGACTTCATGATTTACTCACCGGTCGTGACAGTGTCCACCATGCGGCATCTTATCGCTGCCCCCCCCCCCCCCCTTCATCCGAATTGCCGCGCAAACGACTACTCCAGGTGCTCTGACGTGTCTGTTCGTTGCACGTGCGTTACCAGGAGTGCTTGGCATAGCATGCCATCGGAAGAAAGACAGTATGCTCGCTCCGCCCTGTTTATCGAGCGGGGTCCAGGCGAAGTGGCCCAACTTTGCGTATTTCCCGACGCATCGGTTCCGAAGCCCCAAGAAGCACCGATGTAGGAACACTGATGTCCGTCGTTGCAGTTCTGCCGAACTGAAGGGCGCGAAACGGTGCAGCTTGCGCCACGCGACGGGCGCCGAGCATGCGAGCGCAGTCATGGCTAGTGCAGTAATGCTTTTGAAAACCTTGTAAAATTGGTCAGTACCGTCCAAGGGTTGCCTAGGGTGTCTGTTCACTTGTAGAATATTAACGTTTGTCCCCCTCTGGGTGGATTAGCAGTTGAGCCAACGCAACAAATATGAATTGGACCATTAGGCACGTCAAGAATTCGTGGCGCTGTAAATATTCCCATTTTCGATACATGAAAACTACACAGGTTGAGACGTTCGGTCCGGAATATCTTCTACATATTCGGCTTGATTTCATGAAACGCTCAAGGGTATAACCTCCCAATGCGTGGTCGTATTTGTCTGCCCGTCGCCGACGGTCGGCGATACCGTGGGTGAAGTAGGGACGCGTCTCCCATATTTTTCAGAACGTAGGGAATTATCGACCACAATCTCAGAAAGATTCATGGTTGTCAAAACGGAGTCCACGTGGTGGTTGGCTAGTTCAGGTCATATGTCCAGTGCGGCTGCGAAATGAGAAGTGCTACAGAAGACAAAAGTTATGCTGGAACGGATTTTGAATCAGATTCCGTGGTGAACAAAATGTGTTACTCTGCCTGTCTTGCATTGTTTGGTTTATTGCTTTGCACTCTTGCACTTGCTTTGAGCCCACCACCCCATTATTGTATGATGCCCCGTGAGCCCATTTTCCATCAAGCTCTTATCCCAAAAGCGCGAAAGGACCTCTGTCGTGGCATACACGTACGCGATAGTCGGCCACCCTGTAACCTGACTGGAGCTTTTAGACAGTGGCCGCATGGCCCTGTTTAAACAGGGTCGTCAAATGGACGCCACTTGCAAGCACTTATCTTGAAAGGCTAACCCATCACTGCACGTTTTGCCACATCGTATGTGTAGTGAACGTGACCTAAGCTTTCTACCGAAGGATGGTCTCGCCTGCTGTAGCTGGTGTGTCTGCGCAGCGACATATCTTTCTGCGAAATCGCATGGATATCGCATTGCAGTCAAAAGGGTCGGAGAAGGATGTCCGCCAAGTTAGTGTTATATTCATATCCGAATTCAATGTCGAGTTCGAATTTCCAAAACGGGTCTCCTTAAGTCAAACCCAAGGAGTTATTCGCGGAATCTGCAATCCCCTGTCCAGTAAGCAGTAGCGCAGGCGGGGAGAGGACACAGGGGGCACGCGCCCCTCCCCCTTCCCTAGGTTCCGAGAGGCCGAATGGCCGCTCGAAGCCTACGATTAAGGGCCCGAAGAGCCTGAAAAGCCAACCAGAGCGCTAATTCAGGAGCCCTGGTCCGCAGGGCCGGGCACTCGAATGTCAACCAGAGGGCCATGCGCGTTGGTCAGGGGCCCCCTGAGCTGAAAAAGGCCTGTGCTTCGGCCAGACACGAACAGTAACGCACAGTCGACTCCGTGGCGGCATGGGCCCAAGGGCCCATTTCCCAAGCGGGGACAAAGCTGGAGCCGGTGACTTATATTTTTCGGGGCCCCACAGCGTCTAATAGGGATCCTGTGCTGTCAAGGGGCGCCGGGTCGGCCAGAGGTAGCGTTCGAGGAGGCCCTAAGAGCCTAGAGGGCCTAACCGGTCCGGCGACCAAGGGCCCGGTTGGAGGGTCTAAGGGCATAAAGAGCTGGTCGGAGTCTTATTCAGGGGCCAGAGCTGAGAAGCCAGACACTCAATTAATGGTCAGAGAGCCCTTTGCGCCGATCGGGGACTCCCTGAGTTGATACGGGCCTATATGTCAGTCAGGTACCACCGCACCACGCAGTCGGCTTTGTGTCGGCATGGTCCTGAAGACCCACTTCCCAATCAGCTTTAAAGCCGTAGCCAGTGATTTACTCTGGTCGGGGCCCCGTCGGGTCGGGTCGGGATAGTTTATTAAATAGGTGTCATCAAATGGGTAATGTTTCGTGTCGGTTAGTTTCATGGCCTTGGAGTGTGGATCTGCGAACAGGTTTTGTCGGTCGTTTGGTCCCTCCCCGCCCTCCATTTAACACTGCTCTGCAACCTTTTGTGCATCGTCCTTGACTTCAGGAACCACACATATGATGTCAAATAAATCTTAGGTTTTGGCTCAGAGCTTGCATTTTCATCTGCTGTTGGGAACTTACGTACCTTCTATGCTACTTAATTATGTTGAATAGCGTAAATTATCTTTCTTTCCGCATGCATATTGGCAGCACTTTAGCGTTTATTGGCCACACAAGGCAAGGACGAATGAGGCTGATAAATTTTGCGCAGGACTGAGGTCGGAGATACTTTCCTTTGTTGTCATTGTCCTAGGATGGTCTGGGGGTGGTGCGGACAGTGTCATTCCTGTCAGAAATGTGGGATTTTGCCGAGGAGTGTTACGTGGTGATTGCAAGAGGAATGCACGAATCGATATTGCCCCAGGGCGCGTGATCTTCTGTCGTGTTGCGTGCAGTGCTGTCGTGATCGAGGCATCAGGAACGCGACCTACCTATACAAACCTGGAGACCTACCCACTTTCACGGATGGCTAGTGTCTGTGTATGTGTCTACTCTTGCTTCCTTTGATAAAAATATTAGCCAACTAAGATGGCAGACTTTGATGAGATCTATGAAGCCTCGGATGAACAGGTAGATGGATCATCTGATCTTGCAAGCACAAGCCTACTTCCAGAACCAGTAATAATCCGTGGTTCAGGGAACATAACAGTGTAAGTACTTCATGTTTTCAAATGAGTGTGTAGGAAGCATGTGCATTGATTTACATGGTTGGTGTTCAGGACATGATCCTGGATAGATTGCAGATTTGTATTGCCACCTGTATGAAATCCTTAATGCAGCTTTAGGTAGGAAGTAGTGGGGTCTAGGAAGTAGTAGATATTGTTTTAAACTAGCATTAGCAACTATCTAGTCTAAAAAGCATGCTAGAACTATCATATGGTGTTTTAGAAGCCAATGAGCAAACCATGGGTTGACAGAAAAATGTCCCAAGATGCAGTCTGACCCTTTGAGTACAACTAAATTTTTCTCCATCATGTATGGATGACTGGATTGTACTTTAAACTAAGCATGTCATAGGTGACACCAGTTTATTTGTCTCTTTTTCACATTTCATTTTCATGTTTTGTATATTTTTATGGCCTCAGTAAGTAGCTAGGCTCACAGCATTTCTCATTGAGTGGGCTACACACAAAGTGAATATGCACCTATTTTTATTTGTCATTTTTCAGAAAGCTTTCATTCATCCTTTAACCAGACAGGATGGTAGGGAGATTTAGTTTGTTAGGATTGAGTCCAAACTCTTCTAATCATATGGATTTCTGGGATCTGGGCGTAAACTACGCACTGCATGTGTGAGCCCTGACCCGCCATCCAATTATGAAAGTCCAGGCTAGCAATCAGTCCCAGGCTAATGGCAGAATTTTGTGACCAAATATGGAGGTGCTCTAAGCAGGCCATCCCAGCTAAGGGCAAGTAAGTGTTTCTTGAGTTTGAAGCAACTTGAACCTTACCTGCCATGGTGGACAAAAATCTGAAAATCTGAACTTCTAGCCAACTGAGCCACCTGGATGAAGAAATGCAATGTCATGACACAACTACTCTGGGCTGGGTTGACTGGAATTGGTCAGTTGTAAGCTGACATTGATGTTATTCAGACTAAACTTGTGTGTGTTCTGGGATTTAAGCCCAATATGCCAGGGGCATGTGTCTGAAATCTGTGCTGTAGAGCAGAGTCTGAGATCTTCCCTTCAAAGCAATCTCAACTGATTTTTGTTGGTAATATTACCAGTGTTCATGTGGGATATACATTTTTCCACATGAAGGATAAATTTATCTCAGTTGTTACTTGTGTGGATGCTAAAAAAGAAGTAATGATTTATGTGAACTGAGAGAAACCAATACAAATATCATCTGTGATGCCCTTCCATATTATATAATGTTTCAGATCAATGGTACTATTATATAATGGCAGTACAGAGGCAAAGCTCACCCTGAAAAAGAACTGTGAAAGTGGCTGGTTAAAGTATCTGAGTAATAACATATAATGCTTTTCTAATATGAAGTCAGCTTACGAATCACACCCCACCGCAATGGGAAATGTGAGGTGCACCTATAAAGTTGTAAGATGACATGTCAATTTTTATCTAGTGTCAGTTTGGAAAGGAAAATCAGGGATTAAGGCATGGTGACTAATGGAGAGATCAAGATGGGGGCTGAGAGACAATGCAGCCAAGGAAAACATTTGTGATAAGATCTTAGAAGCATGGCGTGGATTGGCAGTGATCAAAAGCATGGCCAGTGTGTTATGCTTCAACCCCTAACCATTCTGAATAGAGAGGGATGTTGGAAGCCTCCCTCATTGCATTATTGATCAGCAGGCACAGATCAAGTACACATTGTAGGATATGCATTTTTACAAACTTCCTGCAGTGATATGCTAAAACCAACAATGTGGAAGCTTGCCCAGGGTGGGGTGGGAGGGGGGGAGGAAGGGGGCGGCTCAGAGGGATTCTGATCTCTGTTTTTCCCTGGCACCAGAGGCTTGCTGCTGAATTTTGTTAATTTAAATAAAATTAATAATATAACATAAAATCAAAAAATATAGAATATAAAACAATTGCTGCTAAATAAAAAACAAATCAAAAGATGGAGCTGGAACCTCTAGCATTCAGCCAATAGATGCATCATTCCACCTTACCCCCTGTTGCACAGCACATTGAGGCGAAGATAGAAAAGTCTAAATTCATTAACTTCACCAAGCTTACTTGATTTGGTCCATTGAAGGCCACATACACTGATGTTCAACCATATTAATCAAACACTGCAGGCTTCATGAGGTAATCCATGTCATTTTCCTGATGGTAGTCATTTGCGGCCCCCCAGTTCCCATCTGGCATGACAGTCTTGTGTCTGCACTGCCTATTCAGGCACATTTCTTATCTGAGATCCCCTGTGGGGGGAAAGGGGGGCATGAAGTCCTTTTGTCTGGTGAAGGTTAGAACTGAGTCACTGCTGTGGAGGCTTGGTCTTGACTTTTAGAGGCAACTTACTGGGATTCTTCACATCTCTGCCATAGTGTGGAATAGAGCTGAATGTTAATAGTCTGAAGTTTTGAATGCTCTCGTGAAAATGAAGATTCAGGGAATCTTCAAATGGTCACATCCACAGGCCTTCTGTGGAGTGTTTATGCCATTTTGTCCAAGGTCACCCATCTAGGATTGCTTTCTCAGAAAATGAATACTTTTATTATGAATGGTTTTACGAGTTGGGCTGCAGGCCTAGTGTGTCATGTTTGATTAGGCGTGTCTTTCGTATAACGTTGCAGCAACACCACCATTCCACCACCCCTATTTGATTAGCTCATGTCCTACAGGGGTTTTTCACCTTCACTGTATGGGGGTAGGCCCCAGAACCCCATCTTAGATCTCAAATGCTAAAGATGCTAGAGCCAGGCGTGAAACGTCGTTGCAAAGGTCTCGTCAAGCTGCATCAGGAGTGTTATTTTAATAACGATTAGTCTCGCCTTTGACAGGTCAAAACAGGCCGAGGGAATTTAACTCTTTCTTATGAGATTTTTAATGGTTTAGATTTTTTGCTGACACAATTATGGATCATAAGGTGCCAAGAGATTCTGGCTAAATGATGTGATCAAGTAAGCATTTGTGGCATGGTCAGTACGTGACATTTCAGCCTGTGCTTATGATCACAAATGGATTTCGTCAAGGTTTGTAGCGATTGCCCCGCCCGGCGATGGACAACCGCTGTGCACCATTTTCAGCTAAAGCATTTGTGCACTGGCTTGAGTCACTTTTTTAGATTAATGTGATCTAACACCAACATTGTACTTGTGTTTCATCAATGAGATTATTGGTATCTGGATCAATGGGCTTAACGCGCTGCCATATTTTTGGCAAAGTCTATAACCACCATCCCAGCATTTCTTCTACTCTGTAACACACCGCACAAAACTTGACGTGTTCATTCCTGGACACCGTGCTGGTGGTGGAACCAGACGGAAGCTAGACCACACGACCGCCCTCAGCACGCTTCATTACAGTTCGGTACATATCATCGTTACTGAGTGCACGGTGCTTATGTTACAGACACGGAGAGAGATTGCTTGCATGCTCTGAGCCCGAGTGGTGTTAGCTCAATCTGACTGAAGCGGCTCCTCTTTTCCGTGAAAATGGCACCCAGAACACCGGAATCCGGAGGGGAAGCTCGGCGTACCGCTTGGGCTGCATGTTTTCGATGTAACGCCACATCATCATCGCGGAGAAGGAGAAAAATGAAATAGGCAAATTATGTATATGCGAACATCCTATGTCACAGATGAGTGACGCCGTACGATAGAGCCGGGTGCACGGCCTTAGAGTAGCGGAGACCGGTGATCCTAGTTTAAATTCCATGCCGGTGCGATCAGTCCTGGAGACTGCAGCATCTCTAGTGGGGAACAGGATTTGTGACACGTGTTAATGAGCTGAACGGAAAATGCACATGGAAGAACGCAGTACGTAGCACGTAAGACCTCTTTTAGCTCATGCCCTGCGATATTGTTCTAGGAGAAACAAAACGTGGCCTTTGTGACCGGTTTAATAAATACCTGGAAGGCGCACGTTTACGAGGAGCGTACACACCACTGGGGAGCTGTATGGTAGACCGACACAGCAGTGAAGAGTTGCTCACTAGATGCCAACGTTAAAGAAGGAATTTCAGCAACTAGTAAGGACATCACATGACGTTCGATATGTTAAATCGCTGTGACTTGCAATCTAGGTCCGAGGCTGAACACACAAACGTCATCTAGAACGTGGGCCTCGTTAGATAAAGCGATACTGCGAACTAGCCTTTTTATGAATTGTAATATTGCGCCATGGAGTACGGTCAGCAATTATGCAATACTACCGGTACTGTTACGGCGCGATAGGTTGGCACAATGGTACTGTGTTGATTGGTGTCGTAATGTATCGCCAGATACATCGATAGCTCTGCTGAACAATTTGGAACGGGACGAGGAATGAGACGGTGGGAAGTGTAGATTTTAGATGTCTCGGGCACAGTAAGGAACCCTATTATTTTCTGTTGACGATCGTTACGAATCGTCGGTCGACTTTGCAACACCCTTAAACATCTTGCGGACATGGCTATGTTTACTAACTACGATAAAAACATTGGTCATTGCTAACGGAGGTGTGGTCTCTTATTCAGTTTGGGTCCTCGTCCCCAGCTTTGAGAAGAAAGTGGGTGAAATTCGAGGAGAAACCAGTTTTCCGTGAATTGGAGTTGAGTTTGGCTGGTTACCCTGCCCAGACCCCCCCCCCCCCCCCTCCAAACTTTCGTGGTGAATAGACGTTCCTGAATGTGATGGTGCTCGGATAACATTAGTTACGACATCCTGACTCAGTTTAGGGATAAAAACTGCAAGTCGTGCGAACACCACACTGCCTTCTACTCAAGGTCACTGACATACATTTCGGCATTCGCCATTTCGGCATTACGGCCGCGCTCCGCTCATCATGTCCCTGCGCGGTGACATAGTTTGGCGCATCTGTAGCGATCTCATAGCAGAACCGCCCCGACGACTGGCCGGTCAGGCTGGTAACCTCGTCTAACCAGTCCGTCATCGTATATTGAAGGTCGATCGCAGGTCATCATAAGAGCTCCCCCTGCTTGGTAGGGCGAGGGCTGACATTCGAAAGGTCGTATCTTCAGAGTGAGAGAAAGCGGAGGAGCGAACGCTGGTCCAGATCTCGACTCCCCGACGTCAGAGCGGCACACCTGTGACTGATACCAGCCGAGGAGAACACGGACAATCGCTCTGGCAAAAGCGTGTGTGGACCTGCGGAATGCTACGCTTGTGGACTTTCGTACCATAGAGTCTGATAAAAGTCACTTTTCAACACATTGATCGCTTCCGTGGGTCTGAAATCGACTGTTGCTTCGGGGTGGCAGATGAGCGGTGCGTGCAGTCACGAGCCCGACGCGCGCTTGCCGGCAGATTCGGCCTGAACAACCGCTTCTCGACCGAGTTTCCGTCGGCGCTGGCGGCCAAGGTGGCGCCGGAGGAGTACCGCGCCACTGTCCAGCGCATCAACGGTGTGCTCAAGAAGACGATGCCGGTCAGCGCCAAGTGGCTGTTCTGCGGCTGCCTGTGCTGCTGCTGCACTCTCGGCTGCTCGCTCTGGCCGGTCATCTGCCTGAACAAGCGGGTGCGTCGCCGCCGCCGCCGCCGCCGCCGCTGTCGGCGCGCCAGTGGTGCTCGCCGGGGTGCGAGCCACGTGCGCGCGGTGGCTGCCGGCAGCAGAGCATCGGAGTGGCGTTGGGGCGTTGGGGCGGATTTCGTGTTTGATGCTCATGCTCGAGTTGGATAAGTTTTGTGCGCAGTGTCGCACTGCAGTGCAGAAGTGGGTTTATCGCCTGCAACGTAATAAGGTTGTGTCAAAATTCGTGCTTGACTAACAGGATATCTCGAATGCCTGGTTCCAGCGAAGCACTGACTCATTTCCAACATAATATCATTATTGACTATCATTTTTAAGTGTCGTTATGCAAGCTACTTCAAGCATCCTGTGCACCCGCGTAGTTCTGACCGCGGCTGCCATGCTCTTGCAGACGAAGCACTCCCTGGAGAAGGCGCTAGAATGGGAGAACACAAACTTGTATCACAAGCTGGGCCTCCATTGGAAGCTCGCTCGGCACCACTGTGATAACTCGACCATGCTAGAATACGTAAGTTGATTACTCGATCATGTTAGAATATGTAAGTGGAGGACCGTTTGGGTTACTCGATGCTCTTTGTCATCCATTCACGCACCTCATCGCTGGAGGGCTTAATCAGATTGACGTTTGGCATGCAGTGGTGCTGGAGGCCTGCAGGTACTTTCAATCCTGCTCATACAGTGTAGCATTCATCTAGTGCTGAATTTAAATTGTTTGTTTATGCGAGCAGCTATGATAGTGGGTCGCGACTGCTTTTCCATGTGATTCCTTCTCTCTCTTTTTTAAACGTGGCAGTTCTGTTCGACAATTTTCCTTTAATAAGGACCATATATAGTGATAAACAAGGACCCTATGTAGTGTTTAATCAGGATTTTATGCCTATCGTGTCTGCTAAGGATCCTACGTGGTGTTAAATATGGACGCTACGTGGTGTTCAAAGGGAGTGTTCCACATTTGAAGATATGAAGCAAGCATCGGCTGTGATGAAATGAACTCACTTATAACTATTGGTATACTTTTAAATGGCAAGAGCTGATCTGGACAAAAAATTATCTGTTTAGTAAATACGGTTCTCAATACGTCATTGTTTGATCACGTAGTCTTACCTTGCGCAACATTGATGTAGAGCCCGATGGCGGTCGTTGTTATGTCTGGAAATCGTGCTCACGAACGTCAGATATGAACGACTTGACAATTCTATTTTTGTCTTGATCGCCGCATAGCCAATGAGAAAATTTTAGGAGCGTTATTATGTCATGGATGTCTGGGTGACCGTGAAAGTCTCCCCGAAAAAATCTGTACATCTTCGCGGTTGCGCAGCTCAGAAACTAGAGGGTTGGGGTCTTAAGAAGGGCAGGACTGTGAACTGCACTGAATATTCTTCAAGATGATCATTTCAGTTCAAAACCCCCATACAAATGTGGAACACTCCCTTAAGTCAAGACCGCATGCAGTGTTCAGTAGGATCCTTGCGCGGTATTTATTAAGGACCCTATGTAGTCTAATGTTAACCCCATGCAGTGGAATGCCAGCAGCCCGTGTTGTGGAGGGAAATCATGGCTCACACAGTTCTTAATCGCTTCGTCTTCAGCATGTAGGCCGGACGCATCCGTAATCGCTAATATTCGAATTTTAAACCACGAGGAGTGGATCGAAACCATGCGAATAAGAAACCTCCGACGTGGATGTACGATATCTATATGTGGGGTTTAATTGTAGTTGCGGTGTTTTGCAGGCGTAGGCCGTGGCCCTGGTGGGGGTCTTTCAGGGGGAAAAACAAACTCGTGCCACAAGCTGGGCATCCAGTGAAAGCTTGACTGACTATGTCATGCTGCCTAACCATTCGCTTGTGCTCAACACTTCATCTCCGCTCACCTCTCCGCCTGTGATGCCCTTCATCCTCATGCTCCTCCGCTCCGTCTTGACCTGACCCGACATAACGCTGCCCCGGCAGGTGCTGTTGATTGAGTTCATTCCTAAGCTGCCGCTGAACCGGCCCGACTAGCAGGCGGCCGGCGGCCAGCCCGGCACCGCGGCGTGGCCGGCGCACGGCAGGCGAAACTGCGACGCAGCCAGAGACCGTGTTACTGGTGACCGTGTGCCAGCGTCATGGCGTGACTGATGACCGTGTGTCAGCGTCATGGCGTGACTGGTGATCGTGTGTCAGTCATGGCGTGACTGATACCGTGTACCAGCATCATGGCGTGACTGGTGATAGTGTGCCAGCGTCATGGCGTGACTGATACCGTGTACCAGCATCATGGCGTGACTGATGACCGTTTGCCAGCGCCACAGCATGACTGGTGGCCGTGTGCCTGCGTCATGGCGTGATTGGCGCCTGGGTGGCCGAGCCGCGGTGTGGGCGGTGCACGCATGTGGGCGTAGCTGGCCGGCGAGTGCGCCAACCGAGCTTTAAACACATGTCGGGCGCGGGCGACCGCGCGCGAGGCCTCGTGCGGCACCGGTGATCGGACTACGGTGCCGTGCTGTGCCGGCCGCCGGCTTACCGGAAATTCCGCGGAGGGTCGCCGCCGCACGCGCCTTGGAGTTGTATGTGCTTGCAGTTACCTGGAAGCACACCCGTTGACCTCATTTCGATATGTTTTTTGGGAGCATACGAGCCAGTTGCCATGTGAAAACGGGCCGGAGTGTTTTTGTCGGGGGGGGGGGGGGGGGGGAGGGACTAATATTGCGCCAGCCTATTGCGTCGTAGCAGTATCCGTAGTATTGCGCAGTGGCCGACCGGCACTCGAGGATTTCGTTAAACACCATGATAATCTATGCAGTATACAATGTGTGCGAACAGTATAGTTGCAGTTGTTAACTTCGCGAAGGGGAGTTCCCCATGCGTAGAACAGGGAACCCAGATACAAAGGTTTAGTCATCAACCCTCCCCACCAAAGGCCGCCCCACAGACAGTAGGAGGCGACTAGGCTCGGCGCAGTGTTTGTCAGTGCGTGCTGTTGTGTGAAGTGTTGCGCAGCGCGCGGCCAGTGCCACGAGGTGTGCGAGACAGCAGCGGATGGTTCCGATCACGGGTCACGCGGGCCGCAGCTCTCCCGACGGAGCTCGATTCTCTGACTGTGCCGCCTGCGGTCCCGCCGCGCTTCGTTAGCGGTTTTGCGGCGGCGGCGGTGTGTGGAGGCGGGCGCTGTTGGCCGCCCCCGGCGAGGTTCCGTGCGTCGGACGGCGTCGTGACGCGTCGGGCGGTCGGCCGTCCGGACGGCGTCGTGACGCGCCGGGCGGTCGGCCGTCCGGACGGCGTCGTGACGCGTCGGGCGGTCGGCCGTCCGGACGGCGTCGTGACGCGTCGGGCGGTCGGCCGTCCGGACGGCGTCGTGACGCGCCGGGCGGTCGGCCGTCCGGACGGCGTCGTGACGCGTCGGGCGGTCGGCCGTCCCGACGGCGTCGTGACGCGCCGGGCGGCCGGCCGTCCGGAGGGCACCTGGCTTGTTGGTGTGTTGTGTGCGTGTGACGGCTGTGGCCGGACTGCGAGCAGGCGCTCTCACCGGCCGCGCGGGAGGCGACGACACTCGAGCGGCACACTTCCGGGCGGCCACGTACCTCTGCCCCGGCTCGGGCGCCGCGTGACGTCGGCACGCCCTGTTCACGTGTGACTCGCGCGGCGTCTTCCAGAGGCGGCGGCGCGGCCGGCCGCGGTCAGGGTTCGATCTCGCCACAGCGGCGGCCGTCGCCGTGCGCCCCGCCCGGCGGCCCCGCTTTCTAGCAATATACTCCACGCAGCAGTGTGTCCCGTCACGGGAAATATACCACCAGGTAAAAACATAGCTCTTTATATTCACGCGGTAACGACACTGGCATCAGGTACGAAACATGGCGGGGAAGGAGGGGTCCGGCCGGCGGCCGGCGGCGGTCACGCGGTCACCTCCCAGCGGTACATCTTGACCTGTCGCTCAGTGAGCAGCGCCAGGAAGTGGCGGTCGTGTACGGTGAAAGGGCAGGCGTCCAGCACGGGCTCAGAGGCGGCCAGCGTGTGCGCGCACTCGCCGCTGGCCAGATCCCACAGCTGCGTCACCTGAGCCGTCTCCTGGCTGGCGCAGACCAGGGGCGCGTTCGGCCGTAGCGGGTGCGGCACCAGTGCCGAGCGCGACAGCACACGCTGGCTGGTGCCGCCGCGGAACACCTGCACCACCTCGGCTGATACGAGCGATGGCGCATCATCCAGCGGCAGGCGCCGCAGCCGGCACACCGTGTGCTGTGCGTGCGGCTGCCGGCTGGACGGCCGGCTCGACACGAGCAGGTGGCGCGTGCGCTCGTCCACGGCGGCCGAGACGAACGGGCCGTCGAGCGGCAGGTCGTGGCGGCGCCGCTCACCGCGCACCTCCTGCAGCGAGCAGAGAGCCAGCCGGCAGGCGAGCAGGCCGCCGGCACCGTCCGGACCCCCGCGCGACACGTGCCGCAGCGACACCACCGGCGAGGCGTGGCCGGCGGCGGCCAGCTCATCCAGCGGCGCGGCGCCGGCGCGCGTGTCGAACGCCAGCACGGCGCCGCTCTGGAGGCCCACGTAGAAGAGGTGCGGCGCGTCGCGGTCCCACGCGCAGCTCCAACACGGCGACTCGCAGTCGTACGTCTGCACCAGAGTGTTGCCGCACACGTTGGTTAGCTTGGCGCGCCGGTCCAGTGACACGGACAGCAGCAGGTCGCGCTGCTCCGGGCTGAAGCGCACGTCTCGGATCTGCCGGGTCAGGGTCAGGGTCAGCGTCAGCTATACGGACAGCAAGTGCTTGGACTTAACGCGGGGCATAACGACGCTCGCACACATCGTCTTGTCGGTTGCTGACGAAGAGCCCCGTAAAACCTGGACGTCGATCTTTTTAAGTGGATGTTAACAATTGGGATGGATGGCTTTGAATTCACCATGATTTCATGCGAATACAATGAGCCAATAACCATGGCACGGACGACGGGTTATGAGAGGACAGCTGCTCCCCCCCCCCCCCCTCCCCCACACACACACAGACATCAGCTCCGAGCGACAATGAACATTAACCCCACGACGGTACATGGATAGAAACGTGGTATAAATCAAACTTGCTCCCCCTCTTCCCCCGTCTTCGTAGACATTCCGCTGTCACTGCACCATAGAAGCGCGCAGACATGTGACGAGAGACGCGTAAGTAAAAGTAGCATTTCGTTTTCCTCAGCATCCGCCCAGTCGGACGCGCGTGCAGAGGTATCGCGGCCTCCCGCGCGACCCACCTGTTTCTGGTGAAGCGAGACGAACTGCTGCGGCCGCATGTCGAGGGTGTTGATCTTGCGCACGCCGTGCCCGGGGAAGAGCGTGTTCTGGCTGGGCTGCGAGGCCACCAGCAGGCCCATCCAGCTGTTGTACTCCATCACCCGGCAGCCGCCGCCGCGGCTAACCTGCCGGCCGCCGACGCCGGTGAAGAACGGCACCGGCCACGAACGCCGGTGGAGAACGGCATCAGCCACGGACGCCGGTGGAGAACGGTATCAGTCACGGACGCCGGTGGAGAACGGCACCGGCCACGGACGCCGGCGGAGAGCGGCACCGGCCACGGACACCGGTGGAGAACGGCACCAGCCACGGACGCCGGTGGAGAACGGCACCGGCCACGAACGCCGGTGGAGAACGGCATCAGCCACGGACGCCGGTGGAGAACGGCATCAGCCGCGGACGCCGGTGGAGAACGGCACCGGCCACGGACGCCGGTGGAAAACGGCACCGGCCACGGACGCCGGTGGAGAACGGCACCAGCCACGGACGCCGGTGGAGAACGGTATCAGTCACGGACGCCGGCTGCCGACACCGGTGGAGAGCGGCACCGGCCACGGACACCAACGGAGAACGGCACCGGCCACGGACGCCGGTGGAGAAAGGCACCAGCCACGGACGCCGGTGGAGAACGGCACCGACCACGGACACCGACAGAGAGAGAGAGCGGCACCGGCCACAGACACCGACAGAGAGAGCGGCACCGGCCACGGACACCGGTGGAGAGAGTGGCACCGGCCACGGACACCGCTGGAGAACGGCGCGAGCACGGACGCCGGTGGAGAACGGCACCGGCTACGGACACCGGTGGAGAACGGCACCGGCCACGGATTCCGCAGCGGCACGCGCCGAGCTTGCACACACGGCGGTTGGACAGCCGTCGTCCCTCGCCCCCCCCCCCCCCCCTCCCCTAGTGTTTGGCAGTAGCAATGTCCATTTATGTTTGATCAAAATGCACGCTAGAAAACAGGCATAGAAACAAATCGATGCTGCAAGACTTTTTCACATGAAACTGTCAGACGCCTTGGTAACGGACGCGGACTACTTGGTTCGCCGCGAGCACCACCACACCTTCGACCTTGCCCACCCGCCTGTGAGCGGACCTGTGCGGAGCTGGAGCCCTCCACCCGCCTGTGCGTGGACCTGTGCACTGCTGGAGTCCTCCACCCGCCTGTGCGCGGACCTGTGCACTGCTGGAGCCCTCCACCCGCCTGTGCGCGGACCTGTGCACTGCTAGAGCTCTCCACCCGCCTGTGAGCGGACCTGTACAGTGTACGGGCCCTCCACCCGCCCGTGAGTGGACCTGTGCAGTGCTGGAGCCCTCCATCCGCCTGTGGGCGGACCTGTACAATGAAGGGACTCTCCACCCGCATGTGCACGGACCCGTGCAGTGCTGGAGGTCTCCACCCACCTGTGAGTGAACCTGTGCAGTGATGAAGCCCTCCACCCGCCTATGAGTGGACCTGTACAATGGACGGACTCTCCACCCGCCTGTAAGTGGGCCTGTGCAGTGTAGGGGCCCTCCACCCGCCTGTGAGTGGACCTATACGATGAAGGGACCCTACACCCGCCTGTGAGCGGACCTGTGCAGTGTTGGAGCCCTCTACCCGCCTGTGAGCGGACCTGTACAATAAAGGGACTCTCCACCTGCCTGTGAGGGGACCTGTGCAATGCTGGAGCCCTCCACCCGCCTGTAAGTGGACCTGTGCAGTGTAGGGGCCCTCCACCCGCCTGTGAGTGGACCTGTGCAGTGTAGGGGCCCTCCATCCGCCTGTGAGCGGACCTGTGCAGTGCTGGAGCCCTCCATACGCCGGCTGGGAGGCGGCGCCTGTCTGGTACGCGGCTCACCTCCAGACTGCAGTGGAGACTGAGCGAGGCGCCAGCGCCGCCGCCGCTGGCGGCGGCGGCGGCGGCCGGCGCTGGGCCGGAGGGCTGCTGCCCGCCGCCGCCGCCGCCGCCGCCGCCCACCTTCTGACGCAGCGCGCGCAGCTCGCCCTGCAGACGCTCGATCATGTTCTCCTTCATCTGACATTTGACCTGCCAGGGCACGGGCCTGTCAGGCTGGGTTGGATATATTCGAGCGACAGCGACGACGCCACGCAGACCAGCGTGGCCTACCAGGCTCTGCACACATGCAGCACATCACACAAATCGAGCCGGCAAAAAAGTCGAGGTTTGGAAAGAGGCATCTCTGGACTATTGTAATGGCATGGCCACAACGACCTCTTCTGTTCCACTTTGGCCCCACGACCCTTAACAACCACTCCTCGAAGTATGATGGCGTCTGATGCTGCCGATTCCCTGAAGCGAGTGTGTGACATTCGCCGGCCGCACAGCGCCCTGCCACAGAGCGCCTCCAGCCAGCCGGGACCCAGCAGGCGGCGGTCTCTGCGGCGGCGACGCTACAGCACCTGCACCACGGCGAAGTCCAGCTCCAGCTTCCGCTTGGCCTCGCGCTCCCGGCTGAGCTCGTCCAGCGCCCGGTCACGGTCAGTCGTGTCCAGCACGCGCAGACTCTTGGCGAATATGACGCGGATGTCGCGCCGATGGGCCTGCCGACAGACGCGGACGGAATAGGGGCGGGCAGAAACGAACGGAGCGGGATGAACACACGGACAGAGAGGAGAAGAGCTACCAATGACAGAGTGACGACAAACAGAGAGGCCGGCTTAGTGAGGAGCGATAGAACAGAATGGCAGAATGTAGACGCCTGGGATACTCATGGCCGAGGCACACCAGTGGCAAAACCTGACAACGTCACGCCACAAACTACACGAATGGATGGAAATTAACGCTAAACACTGGCTCGTTACGTGGCTCGCCTCTCAAAGTAAAGACCTGTAGTGCATCGGAGTAAGAGCGTCTCACCAGCAATCGGGGTTACTGCATGGATTGACGAGCACCTGACGCTAATAACGCTCACTTTCTCAGCAGCACCCATTGCTACATTTGCGACCAATACCCTGCGAGACCTAGACCACTTCGGGGGCGAAGTTTCCAACCCCACATCCTGCAAACCACGGCAAATCTCCGCAAGACACCTGTCCCCCTCCCCCGCACCTTATCGTTGCACTGTGGACAGCGCGGGTCGCGGCCACGCAGCCAGCGCTCGATGCACGACCGTCCGAACAGGTGTCCACAGCGGAGGGAGGCGATCCGGTGCTCGCCCGAGTTGGACCATGGCTCGAAGCAGATAGTGCAGCACTGGCCGTCCTCCGACTGTGGGGAGCGCGCCTCCAACGCCGGCATGAACCCTGCCCGTCGGACGGAGTGCGCGTCAGAGCTGCCTTAGACCGGCGAGGGTGAACCGGCGTGAGATGGCTGAGTCCTGGCTTTGCGAGGCTGCCAACTCGGCACAGCTGAGCCCTGTCGGCGCGCATGGGTCGGCGTGGGACTAAGCGCCTCCGGAACCCTAGGTCCGAGTCCACGTCAGAACTGAGTCCTGCAGGTCAGGGCGAGTCGATGTCAGCACTGAACCTCATCGGTCGGTCCGAGTCAGCAGCGGGACTAACGTTCACTGATGCGTCGGAGTCAGCGGGAGGAGGGAGGGCTTGCTACCCAGAAATGCGGTGGGAAATTGAGCGATACCTAATTTAGATGGAGGGTGAACCGAGCATGGGCGATAATACGCGATGACACGGATGATCGCTGAGGTAGTCATGATGATATGCAGTGCTGACATGTGACGAGCAAGGTGAAGTTTGGGCGTAGTGTGTAGTGCGGCATGACAATCAAACATACAATTTACCGCACTGTAACGCCCGGTAAATATGGTTGCTGAAGTTTTCAGATACCTCGAGATATACTGCTTAGTTCGCTAAAAATACACGCTAAGCACTTTGGAGGGGAGAGGCAGTCAAACAGAGCATGGACGACATCGCGCTCCGAGCCGACGGTGCCGAGGGCGGCCTCCTCGAGCCGTACCTCCGTCCATCTTGGGAGGCGTCTTCTGGCCGGGCTGGGGTCCGGCGGCGGCGGCGCCATCGTCAGCCGTCGGTGACGCGGGTGCCGAGCGCAGGGCCGGACCGGGCCCCGCCGGCGCGTCCGCCGAGCCGCTGCCGCCGTCCCTCGCCGGCTCGCGGAAGTCTGTATCCCTCCACAGGCCGCTGGCGCCGAGGCTGCTCCTGCCGGAGAAGCCCGCCGCACCGCCGCCGACAACCGCCACCACCTGGACATCGGGCGGTGGGTGGAGCCCCACGGCACCGCTGCCCGGCTCATCCGCTGGCGAGGCGGGTTCGCGCCCGGCGCCCACATCCATGGTGCTGATCGGGCCGGGGTCATCCCGTGCCAGTGGCACTCGACTGTCGAGGCCTGAAACCTCCGGTTCGCCTTCCGGGCAGGGACTTCGCCGTACGCCAGCTGCGAGGGGGTCAAGGCCCCAGCCTGGCCCACTCCCAGGTGGTGAGTCTCTTCCTCTGCCTCCACCTGGTGCCAGCTCCGGAGGCAGTCTAGTCCGCACCTCATGCTGCATTGTGGCAGAACTGGGCTCTGGCTCCAGCCCCGCTCCTGACACAGCGTTCGGCTCCGGCGCGATTGGCGACGAGGACCTCCGCTCCGGCTCCGGCACAGTCGCTGACACCAAGCTCGGCTCCGCCCCCGGTACGGCCGCTGACGCAGAGTCGAGCTGTGGTGCGGCCGTTGGGCTGGGGCTCAGCTGGCGGAGGCGGCCGGTGCCGTCAGGTGGCGCTGACTGACTGGCGGCGCGGCCGGCCGGCCGCAGCCCCACCACCGGGCTGCCCGACCACGGGGGCGACGTGTCCATGACAGAACCGCCGTCCGAGCCGACCTCAGAGTCAGAGGAATCATCTATGACTATGTCTTCCTCAAGCAGGCTCATCGTCTCCTGTAAGGATGGCACAGAGGGGTTATCAGGGCTGCCTTGGAGAGGAGATGTAACTAGCATTGTAGTCCAGTTGCAGAGCTGCCTCTGATGCAGTAGAATGCATATCAGATGAAGTGAGATACAAATGTTGACTGGGGGATGGCACAGCTCAAGGGGTAGATGAGTCAACCATTACTATATTCCAAGGTATTATTACAAACCTAACCACTGGAGCTGCTTTCCACTGCCTCATGCAATTGACATGAAACATTGCAATGATCACAAACATAATATTTGTGCAGCTTCAGAATGAGAAAACTGAATATTGTTGCAATCAAGCTATGGCCAGAAGAGCACTGGAGATGAATGCACAAAAGTCCTCTAAAAATGAAATATATTGGCTGCCACAAATGAAAGCAAACTGCCCCATGAAATACATATGTGATGGTTGAATGAAGCATAAAGAATTAAAGTGAACTAAGTGAACTCTGACAAACTTTAAAAACTCTGACAATGGGCACAGCATGGCCATGCACAGTTAACACACTCAAACTCCAAATAATTGTCAACTCTGATTAAATGGTATACAGCAATTACTCCTGCTGAAACTACATGGTCACAGTTGTGGTGTACCATGCCTATAATGAGTCTTCCAAGGTTAGAATGGCCAGATGATCTAGATGGTTACAGACCTGGGGTATTGTAGGCAAGGTAATTTACTGATAATATTCACATTTAGATTATAAGATGTAATGCTCACTAAGCTTGATTTGAGCAGAATGTAATAAACATGACAAACAAGTTTTATGGATGAATCTTTGCATTTTTAATAAATATTTAACCTGAATTTTCAAATGGCTAGATCTTTCAGCTCAGAGTGTACTCTTAGCAGTGCTTGCTGCATGAGCCCTGACAGCTGAGCCTTGCCACATGATCATGCAACTGCAGATTGACAACAGAATTTGGTGATGAAAGGTGAATGAGCTCCAATGCTTGGCACAGTCCATTGGTCCATGCACTCTGATGTTATCATATTTTTTAGCCACCCCCACCACCCACTGCAGGTCTGCCTATGGCAAATAACCAGCACCTCAATGATTCAAATCCACCAAACCCTGCTACAGATGGGTGGATCAGAAGGCAGATGCTCTAACCACTTGAGCTATTGGAAAAAAACAAATTATTTTAGCTATCAGCATGGATAATTGCATACACAAATGCATTACACTGTGCAAGAATACATATTGTCACCTGCCATGTTACTGTGTGGCAGAAAACTTCCCTTTCACATTTCTTTAAATTAGATCAGTTGTCATTAGCTGCTGTTAGTTAACTTGTCATCTGTTTGAAAAAAGGCATGCTAGCAAGGAGGTAGTAACAATAATTGCAAAAAAATATGCACCTTGTGATTACTACTGGACAAAAGTGCAAAAAGCTGAAGGAAATAAACCTAAAAGGGCTACTGCCTGTGTGTAGTACCTGACATCTGGCATAAAAACTCTGGGACAACATAAGAGATAGAGATAAAACAGTAATTTGGCACAGCAGTCAGGGTTAAGATGTCTGGCTTGCCAGGCCAGTTGTGAACATCATGGACCAGTGAAGGAAAGGCTGACAGCATTAACACAGTTATATGGGATATTAATCTTCATAATGCTAAATGGTAATTGGAAGAGAAGAATTGCAACTGAAACCAATTAGCTGCTGTCAGCCACAATTAACAGGAATAAGGATAACATAAACATGCATCAAGGGTACTGATTTTAAGTCATTCATGCCACTGGGACATCAAGAAATTGAATCGCCTCGGTGCTGTAGCCTAACCTCATGTCCCGTCACCTAAGGTAAGGCCATAAGGGTGGGGACACAGCCCACAGATAAGCCCATGACCAATCATGATTTTATGTCATTTATGCAGGCATCATTTTTAGCTGCCTGGTCAACAAATGAACAATTAGCACCCAAACAACAAACCTTGCAAACATAAACACAGAAAGACTTATTGTTTTCACACCCACACAACATATCTGTTCTGCTTTCCAGTGATACGAATTATTTGAGGCACAACATTCCATGTAAATTCCCACACTGCAGTCATTGCATGATCAGAATTACTATATTTAATGCACAATGATACAATGTCCCCATGCCAGTGTCTTTTGCTCAAGAACACAACTAATATGGAAAACAGTCTCGTTAGAAGTGGGATTCAACCATACCCAAGTTGGAATAGACCCGGAGCCTCAAAGCATCTCATACCTGATTATCGGCTATCAAAATCAACTAGGTTTGTCATATTCATTACTCCAGGAGCACAGATAACACAGGGATTTTTAAACAGCACGCCAGAAAAAACGAGGCGCCGCTTTTAACTGGGTATGTGAACACGCCGTTTGAAACACGAATTCAATGTCACCTTAGATACGAACGCAAGTTGGTTGCGCTGCCAATAAACGCGGGTACAACAAAATATTTTGCACCAGGAGCGCCAAATACGCTCTTACCTGGCGGCGACCTGGTCAAGTTCGTGCACTGAACATTACACTTGTTGCAAAATAATTCACATATTTTTTAACAAATGTGCATATAATTCTGGCTTTTTCCCTGACACATGCATGTTCCAACCACATGGGCTCATCTCATCATCTTAAAACCGATTTTAGCTTGTCCAGATCAGGGGATAACTATGTGGCTAGCAACAGTAATACCAGAAATCCTACCAGTTACAGCGGAAACAATATGGAAACTATGGACTATCAACACATCTTCGAGATCGGACGTGCGTAAATAGACTCATTACATCTGCACGGAACAGCTCCTTTGCTTAAATCTACTACGAAGTGGATTTACACAGAATGTCACTCCTGCGTAAATCGACTCAGATCTGAGTTGATCCACACATAAACGCGTTGTTGTGTAAATCCACTTGTGAGTAGATCTACACAAGCGTGGCTTCAGGAGTAAATCGACTCAGATATGAGTGGATTTACACATGAGCGCCTTTCTGTGTATATACACTCCGGAGTGGATCTAACAGAAGGAAGCGCCATTCTATGTAATTCCGCTCTCGAGCGGATTTGAGCAGAGAAGGTGCTCTGTGTGGATGCACTCATGATGGATACACACAGCTGTGAATTACATCGTGATGTGATTTGCGCAGGAGACAGAGCGCACTCAACGCAGCGAACTGGCGAACTGATCTGTGACTTGCCGAATGAGGGAAAGATGTGATTTCAGCAATCAAACGAACGCATAAAAGCTGAAAATATGCATTTGCCCATGCATAGTTCATTTCAGCATCACCGAAGCTATACATCTGCTTACTTTATCGAGAACGTACTGTTCAGTGATACGAATATATACATACATATATATATATATATATATATATATATATATATATATATATATAGTATGCGTGCGTTTGTGCATGTATGTGTGTATGTACCAGGAAAGGTAGGTGCCGAACTTGTCATATTGCTTACAAGGCACGCCAAGGCAGCATCGCATGCTTGTCACACGGTGGTTTGCGGTGTGCGGCTTTTATCCAGTCTTGGTAACGGGTGAGAGGTGCGGAGGGCTCCCGGAGGGACTCCTTGATGGTGAAACGCCCCCCCCCCCCCTCACACGCACAAATTCGTCAGCTTTGGTCGATGGATTTTCACCGGCATGGTTTTGTGCGTGTTTCACATATTTCTAACTTTCTTCACTGGGGCAAGAAGCCATGAAGGTACTGGAAAGCAATTTGCCGTCTGTATTTTATCGCAGGCAATGATCAACAGAAGGGAGGAGATGCTAGATCGCATACAAAATAACGCACCGGTGTTATTCCTTTCAGATTGTTAAGCTGGTTCTATCCAAAGGGATAGACCTCAGAGCTTGGCCAAGTTTTTGTTCTAAGCTCTGCAGAGATATTCATGGTCCCGTGCACGTTGAGTGTGGATGGAAATGGGGGCAGCATTTTTTTCACCTTGGCTAACCCATGTTCGTCTGGGTATGTTAAACGTTTTGTCAGAATTTATTAGTGATGCAACTTATGTAACAGTGTTTAGGATACGCACTTCAAGTCTTAGAAGCCTAACCCAGTGCTGTGGTTACATCTTCTCATGCAGTAATGCATCCTCGCTCAGAGTTTCTATGCGGCAAGTGTATCCTCGATTTCAGAGGTCAAGTTAAGTCACTTCCGGCGAACCTAGAGTCTTGTAATTAGCATCTGTAATAGTACCGAACATTCAAAACGCAATGGCGAGAAATGCCCGACCCTAGCCCCCATATTTTCGAATGAGATTATCTGAAGTCGTCTTTGGAAAAGCAGACTAACTATAAGAAGCGTTCCCCTGGGCCAAAAAATCGCAATGATTGAACGTTGGATAACGCGATAGGGAACATGGAGAAATGCATGGAAGACTTTGCTAAGTCCTCACTCAAAAAGGAAAAATTGGAACCGAAATCGGCAAACCCAAGCGTGGGTTGTACCTACGTTCATGCCTATGCAACTTACATTCTGAATACAGTTCGGTACCTTAACTGAACCTAGTACTGTGAAGTAACCCAACTGAAGCTACCCAACTGATTCACACGCGGTGCCACCAATATGGGTGTGTTTGGCATCCAGACCGGTCTTTCGTCTGTAAATTTGAAGTCGCTCAACTTGGGGCTAACTTAAAACCAAGAACTTCACTTTTGCGTAACGCTATGGGAAACGCTTTTTAGGTTAAGGACACTTGCAGACGTCTGTGCCGAAAGAACCTCACGGTCAAAGACAAACATTGGCGGTACCTAATGAGGGTACCACCAATAATGAAATGCGGCAGTTATTCTCTTCGCTCTTCTATTTTCTACATTCGGCTCTTCACAAATATGTCTTTCGTGAAATCGCTAGCATTTTCGTACGCACATCAGCTTGCCTGTTTTTTCAAAGACACGAAAAAGTTGTGTGCATGCAGCTGTCGTCCAACCTAGGAACCCATGATCTTTTAGCTACATCACAGTACGCGTGCAGATCTTGTCACTCAACCGAAAACGCCCTGGACGATTCCGTTGAGTGAGCTGTACTCGGATTGGGGTTAAGCTCATCGTGGCCGTCACTTTCGTAAATTTCAACCGTGCCTTTAATTTTATCGACCACGGCGTCGTTCTGATAAAGCTGCAGTGATATTGCATTGATCCGAAATGGTTTGAGAGCTACCTTGCTGGTCGAAGGTAGACGGTGAGAAGCAGAATCTTTCTCTTCTGTCGATTCACGGTGTCCCTCAGTGATCCTTGGTTGACCCTATCCTCTTTAGTATCTTTGAGAACGAATCTCTATCTTGCCTCCTTCACGAATATCTAGTATCCTGTACGGACCACACCCAACTGCTAGACTCTACTCATCCAGACCAACCATCCGTTTTGAAATCTCGACAGGAGGAAACCACTCAAGTGATTAATTCCTACTTCACATTTAACTCCCTTAAAATGAAGCCAACCAAAAGAGCTCTTCTTCCCGGCACTCCACGATACTGAAGTGAAACCTTATCTTTTCACCTGGATAGTGCGGGACACCAATTAGGCCCTTCGTCGCCCATTGCTAGGGGGGGGGGGGGGGTCCTATTGCAGGTACCTTTTCTTGGGAGATGCTCATATCCTATGTTAAAATGCGCAGCCCCATCCTTTTCCGCTTGCATAAAATCCGCCACAACCAACAATATTGGCTGCTTGTGACGAATCACAATGCAAAAATTCCACCACAGTCAAAACCACAACCAACAAATTCGTCGCCCGAGGTTCGTAAATCTATCATCCAGTCCCATGCCCTCATCTTCTGTACTGCCTCTCGGTATGGGGTGTGGCTGCAGCGCGTCACCTAATTAGAGTGCAAGGGGTGATTAACCGTGGGGCCAAGATCGTCACCGATGCTCTTCAGCAAGATCCAATGGCGGCGACTGTTCAAGCGCTGGGCTGGCGCGGTGACCTAGTCATCCCCCGTGGCAGCCTCGCTGTGTTCAGGGCCCTTAATGACTCGTGGGTTTCTTTGGAGATCCGGGCCCTGTTCACGACACGCACAGGTTGACGCCAGCGTGTCACCCGCGCGGCAGCGATGGGCGCCCTGGGTCTGCCAGCCCTCACCTATCGACAGCACGCAGGTCTTTTCGCATTTACGCGGCATCATCCCGCTACCGCCGACCACCACAACCTCTTACACCTACAATGTGCTTTGCGCCGGTCTGGTCGATGTAGACTGCCCTGTTATGTAATCATTGCATGTTTGCCGCTTCGTAACATATTCTGACGGCTTAAAGTTTGATACATAATTTATTGTTAGCCAAGTTGTGAGAGCGAAGGGACGATTGACAACGTGCGAATTTAGTCGCGCCGTTGTTTTAATATTGCACCCACACTAATGTTGTAATTGTACGGAGTACAACCCAGCTGTCGGAATAATTTGTGATTAAAATGAGCGTGAACATGACCCAGCCACGCATCCGCAATGAGAGGCGTCACTGGAGCTGCTAGTGGTCTTACGCATACCGATGAAACTCACAAGACATTTGTTGGACTTCGTCAGACGTATTTGCGGATACGTGGGATTTTCGCAGTGCGCAATAGTCACTTCAGCAGAGTTGGTCAGCTTTAAATATGTTAAAGTATTGAGGTCAATGAGCTCTCAGGGATAACCACAGCCTTGGAAGGTACACGACATACAGTTCTGGGCATGCAGCCGTACGAGCTTACCACAGATGCATGCCATGAAAAGAAGCAACCATGTCAACAGCGCAGGTCTATTACCGCATTGGAGCGGCCAGGCATGCCTCACTATGTCAGGAAGACTTTCTCACACGCCAATAAATCCCGTACGCTAACAAAGGCACACCATGAGTGCTGAGATGCATGGAAATCTACCACAAGGCACAATCGTCAACGTTCTTCTTGACTAGATTGAAAGCGTGTGAGCACGACCAGTGTCAAAAAACATCAATAAGAACCATGGCTGAAAAGTGTTGACCGCACTAAGCAATTCTATAACAGTGGCACGACATACTGAACAAGTAGCCAAAGCAATGGTCTCAAGTTGATGTTTTTTAAAGCACATCCGCCTTAGGGGTCGCTGGTTTAACTAGCACAAAACAAAAATATATAATTACCCAGTCAGTTCTCGCACATGTAGAACTGTCGACTATGAACGCATCAAAGACATTTGACGAGGCTTCTTAGTTCACGTCAGCCTCTTAGTTCAGGTACACGACAGATCTAAGCTCGCTCAACGTTCTTCTCAATCAGTGGGGCGATAATGCAAGCACATCCAGGGACGCAGCAGGTTGGACGTAAGCAGCCGCTGCTTGGTGAGCGGTGCTATTTTACAGCGCATATCCAGTCTGGAACCAATCAACACAGTTACTCGGAAACGCTTTCAGTCTTCCAGAGTCTGTGGATGGGC